TGAGATGACTGACACACACAAACACAGACGGGCTGATTCAACCCAGGCTCCATGAGTATTGGGGGAGAGGTGGGGGGTCTGAATCAGCCCCAGTGATACATTCATCCAGGCTCTCCTGGTGATCATAAACCAGACTGAAGGGCTTAGAGGGCACGATGTGACACCAAATATATAAATTATTCCATTTATTCAGGATTTTCTGTTGCTCTGCATTTTCCTCAGATTTTACTTAGTCAGGCTTGAGGTAGGAGAATTTCCCACTGATGTTTCTGTGGTGACACTTGAAACTTGATAAGTTCGAGGAGGAGGAGGAGCTTTAAATGAACAGATCAGCGTTCTAAAAATACACTTCTTGATAGGCAATGACAGTCGATTCCAGCCTCGGGCGTAGGCTATAGCCAGGAGTAATGATGGTAATCTGGGATCAGTTCAAAATGTCCAGTCCATTGAAATTGCATGCCTCTTTGCTTATCAATTACTTCAAACGGTGCTAGCAAGTTTTTCAGACAGCTGTGCATTACGCAATAATATCAGCTCATTGCAGACTCACACCTGACTCACTTGTAGACTCTTATTTTCCAACTATTCTCAGTGTTTCCAACAGATTTAAGCTGGGAGGATGGGAGGATCCTCCCCCCTCTGGTCTATATGACCCTGCCGCTGCTAGGGAAAGAATTTTATCCAGATATGATTGTTGAAGGATGACCCAGGTCAGTTCAGTTTCTACTTTTCATAAAGCCAGAAACCACCACTGTTTCCAGAGTGAAAACTACAATTATCTAAACAAAAGAGAAGTGAACTTGATTCAGAGAGTCCGGTGACTCGCAGAAACATCCTTGAAATACTCCTACTACGTGTCAAATATTTGCCTGATTGCTGACATCTGAATTCCCTACAAAGGTGTGTCCTGCAGCTTCTTCTTTTGACTTGTTGAATTGTACTGGAGCTGCTGTCTGCGACAGTTATGTTAAGCGCACAATTTGATGGCTTTGGTGTAGCGGTTGTGGCCTACTAACTATTCAGCAGGGGTCCTAACCTGGCCGTCATTCATTGCATCATTCACAGGTTAGAACCTGAAGCTCTAGTCAAGTCATTTTCACATTTTTATTAACTCTCAAATCCAAAAGTTCATAACAGTAATCTGTTACAGTATTCTTGTTAATGCTGTGGTAATATGTCTAAGCTCTGAACTTGTTTGGCTAAGGTTTATAATTATTCTGCAAACATTACAGTGAAAGCAATAACTCAATAACCAGCCTGCTCTAACAGGCTTTAAAGTATATAGGACCACAATGGTTACTAGATTGTTTTTATGGGGGGGAAAACAATAACATCTCCCACACTTATTTTTTTTTACAGATTACACCATGGAATTAGATTTAGTTAAGATTCTTTGCTGTAAAATGTTTTAATTTATGGGGGGGAAAACACCAGGTCCCCTGTTTAGACTGCAGCTACTGTAGGTAGTCTTTGTTCTGCTTTGCTGCGTCGGTGAGTTTACCATTGCAGCAGAGCAGATCTGCTGGTTCTGTTTAGATTGGGCCTCCTGTCATCCTGTCAGACGGAGCCACCCACATCTGAGGATGCGATGAAGAGTAGCTGAATCATATCGAGGGCTGTCATAATAGCAACCCGGCCATAACGCCAGCCAGATATGAGAAGAGCTGGGGTGCGCTAATTAGCAGAGACTGAACTGGCACATCAATAAAATCTGCCTCTAGCTTGGAGACATTATCTAAGATAAGCATAAAGACCTGTGACTGTCACCACCTCCTGCATGCACTAATTATTATATTATATCTTGTTTTTTAATCTGTACAAAATTCGTTAACACTGCACGCAGCCTAGCTTAGCTTAGCTTAGCCTAGCATAGCTGTTTCACCAGTGTCCTGTGTTTGATAAGCTTTGTTGTCTGCCTGTAATTTCATGTGTACATACATTTGCTATAAAAATTCATAAAAAAGGCACAAAATTCTTCAAACATTTCTAATATTTTAACTATTGAAGCTCCTGAAGCTTTTTTAAAAGGACATTGATACACCACACGATGCAAAATCCCTACACAAACCACTATCCGGCTAAAAGAAATGTATACGGTATTTGAGGGATATTCCCAGCCAGGACATAACAGCCAACCATTAGTCAAAGATCTCTGTGCTCAGGCTCAGATTCAATCTAATGCTGCCATTAATTATGGAAGACTTATATTGTGTTTGCCTACTTGCTCTTACTAACTGTTATCAGATCAGCAGGGGTGAGCTGGATCCAGACTTATTTCTCTGGAACGGCTGAAATAATACTATCCTAGGATCAGCGTGCAACCGTGCGAGTTGAGATACTATCTATAGAGGTGTTATCTAATCATTCTAAATCTTAGTTTGTGTGTGTGACTGTGTAGTGGCTGAGTGCAAACACGCATGATTGCGCATGCAGTAGGAGTGTGTATCCATACATCCTTTTGTTTTTTCTGCGTTTCTGGTGTTTCCGTGTGTGTGCGAGTTGTTCACATCTGGTCTGAATCTGTCCATGTTTCCGGGCGCTGGCTGGGCAGGGAAGTGGCAGGCGCTATCGAAAATCTCCGCTGTTTTCACAGGGATGATGGGAATCTCAGGGACTTTCCCTACGGCAGTGAAATCATCCGCCTTTCCCGCTCCTTTAAATACCCCCGGCTCATTCCTCCGCCCTGCTAGGGTTCCGATAAAACAGCTGAGACATCTTGTGTTTGGCAACAGTTGTCCTCTAAAAGGTGTAATTAACTCATGAAAAACTGTATTTACTGTCAAGGCCTGCTAAACTAATGGACTTGAGGTCTGGCTGGTTGGAGTGTAAATTGGACCTTAATGTGGTGGTTGACATGCAGCATTCCTATAGGAGGAAAAAATACAAAGGCTTCCTTTAAAACGGAGTGTCATCCATAGATTTGTTGACATTTACGGTGGCTGAGGATGGAAGCTGAATGAAACTGTAACAGAAGTGAAGTTAGCTTGTTGTATGTCGTGTCAGTATAATTTTTATCTTCTTAAACATCTGTCTATATTTTAGGATCGTCGACAAATATGTTGAAATCCTAAAGTCTCCCTAACTGTTTCACCATTCAGCACTCCTCACAGAACCTGCGTCGCCTAACCAGCCCAGAGCTCTTAATTTACTGGTCATCAGGGTCTCTCCCTCGCCGGCGTTGCCTCCCTGCTCGCGCCTGTCCCCCTCTGTCTCCCATCATCCCCCTATGGTCTCCCATTGCTATTTATTCCCATCACTAGGAAACAGGCTGTGCACAAAGCCTGCTCTGTGTCCCGAGGCTTTTTTAGAATAGAAACTGGGTCTGTTGAAAATGGAAACGCTATGATTGACTGGGCGCAGCTTGCACAGAGAGACGAGGAATGCCAGCGAGAGGCACAAATTATCTGCAGGAACGATGGGGAAATATTATTAATGAAATATGGGCTTGAATTATATTATAAAGTCTTCAATAAGCTGAGGTCTTTTAGTAGCCGCTATTATTCTCCTTTCCAGAGCAGCTAGAGGAGACCGATGATGAGATTGTCTATTTATTTTGAGCTGGATGATGCCAGTCCGGTAACGTCATTGTAATAAAAATCATGGTCTGTCTGACTGTCACTGGCTGCCTTCTTTTTTTCTCTGCCGCCATTCTCGAGTCTCAATTTCATTGCACCACTGTTTGGTATTAAAGTTCCAAGCAGTTGTTCCAGAGTAAATTAATTTGTTGTGAGAGAGTCACATGGTTTGTAGCAGCATAACTGAGGCTGAAATAATGCTTTGTTGCAGTAGTGGAAAAATGTTCGACTGTTATGGGCGGTTTCTAAAAGAATTTCTGTCTTAGTTGAATAAATACAAAACGACAAACTTAGATAATCAGCACAAACAGGAAAGATGGATACGACATGCAGCGGAGCCCCTCAGCTGGGATGTCATCGGTACACATAGTTAGGCTGGAATTTTTCTTTGATCTCTCTAATGATGCCTTAGTGATGATTCTTTTTAAAGCTCTTTTTTGTTCGCCCTCTCCTGTGCACCCACCCGGTGTTATAAGAGTATTGGCAGGCCTTTGTTCCCAGCTCAGGCAGCAGTCAGGTTAGGCAGGATTCTGAAGTAGCGCGCTGTTTCTGCCTGAGCCAGCTGGAGCCCTGCCAAGCACAGCAGGAGTTTCTACTCTGTTTGATATTTACTTTACCGCCTTTACAGGAGAACTAGTGCAAGACCAGACAGACACACCGACACAGGACTGTGTCGGTGTTAAAGAGAACTGTGTGTGTGTGTGTGTGTGTGTGTGTGTGTGCGTGCGTGCGTGCGTCCAGGCCTCTCTTTCTACCCCACCTTTACTAAACTATAATCTACACCTGTGGGCCCTGGGCAGGTTTTGCACTGGTTCCCACTACAAGGCCAAACGGACTGCTAAGACAGGCTCAGACATCATCTTGCGTGGATATGTGTTTGTATGTTGGAGGAGTGTAGAGTTACCAGGCTGAGAGAGTGGAATAGAATCGGGGATATAAAGGGTGTAAAATTATTGGTAAAGGAATGCAGGAAGAGAAAATGCATAATATATTTGGCATAGGTTATGACTCCTGTGGGGATAATGGGGCAATGGCATGAGAGCTTGTGTTTACTAGTGGAAGAAGCCTCAGGTTAAAAATTAACATACATCAGAACATCTCTTTTTATTCCCATGCAAAAAGATCCAAGGAATTTGCCTATGACTTTGTTACTTATCAGGGTCTGGGACACCATTCCCAGATGCGCCTGCACCTCCTCCTCGTTTGGGGTACAAACTGTGTTTATCGGGAAGTGAGCCTCTAAGGTTCAGGAGCAGCAAACAACCTAAGAGTTGAACGTTGCCCAGAACTTTTCTTTCACATTAAAAAAAATATTCTTTGCTGGCAACATCGGAGCACTTACAGTCAGTGTTTAAATGGGTGTTTCGCTACTGCCTGCGTCCCGTCAATATAACAGTGCTTTGTTTTGTTTTTCTGTGTCTGCAGGGCATCGTCAGAAGCTCGAGGATCCTCCCAAAACTGGTCTGTTCTCCGACCGCCTCAGCGAGCTAGAGAGGATGAGGGTGAGGGTCGCGGTTCCGACACAAGCTCCCCGGCCAGCTCTCAACACGGCGGCCAACTCCTTCAACCCACAGGGACAGACGCAGATAACAGGTGAGCCGCCAAGGACAGCTTATACAAACCTCCTGGTGTTGATGGAGAATCCAGGTGCTGGAAGCGTCCAGGAAGTGTGCATGCACAGAATCTCTTAGCATGCTGTTCCGTATCTGATCTTAAACCTCTGCGATTTTATAGTTCCTTGTTATAAGTTTCAAATACAAATATTTTGCTGTTGCCCAAGCTTTGTGTGTGTATGTGTCATCTAGGATACCAAAAGCCTCCTTGTGCTGAACATGATATGATCATACTCTGCTGTCATCCTGCAAAATTGAGTTGCCAAAATTCCATATTGTATTTTAAAAACGAGTCTTCTTATTTTCACGTGGGAAGAAATCCTCACACAGACATACATGCTTTGAACTGTGGATGCACACAAGGAAAGGAAGGTTTTAAAGGAGTTAGCGGGCATTTTTATTTTTAAAATTTGACGTTTTTCACATCGCTTCCCTTCCAAGAAAGTATAACCAAGTTGACGCATGGAATAGGCGCGTGTCCAACACGTGCCATGCTTTTTCTGGACAGGTGGGCTGAGTCACAAACCGAGCACCGTTTACTGTATGTAAGGTGAAATATTAAACCCCAATTGGAGCCTCAGACACATCCTGAGCCACAAAACACCAAGCACGGTGCCTCTGAGATCATCTGTCTTTCTCTGCTCCATCACTCTATCAATCTTAGAAGGTAACAAAATCTCTCACGGTTTGGGATGGCTGCTACCCGATCACCCAAATCTCTGGAGGCACGTCACACGTCGTCATTTAGCTCTTAGTTAATCTCTGTCATGGTTTTGTGTTGCGACTCGATGGATCGTTGAGGGCACGGTTTCGCAGCAAAGCAGTGCGGGGGTGACAATTGTACACTGGACTGAAAGTACCACGTGAGCTAACTGCCAAACAGGTGCTGCTTGATTGATAAGATTGTTTGGTTTCTTTGGGTTTTTTGGCATGCCTCCTCACCTTCTGTGATCTGACAAAAACAGTGAAAGAAATCACTTGAAAGTGAACAATCAAATAGTTTAGTTTTGTCATGCACACATAAACACGCGCACACATATACTTTCTGTCTCAATCAGCTTCCATTCTGAGTCCTTGTTGCCGCACAGACACAATGATAAAGTGTTGTGGTTGTCTGCCGGTGTGTTTACACCGTGGCTGAGTGCCAGCGAGGCTCTCTGTGCCTCAGCTGCGAGCACACAGTTTTACAAGGCAAACAGGAAGATCTTCTCTCTAAAAGGTAAACATTAGAAGTCTTATTATTAAAAAATGTTGCATAACATGCCCGAGTGATATTTAACCCTAAACACAGGCGCGGAGAAGCATAGCGACGGATCAAGTCCACAGCTCGTTGTGTTATTGTTGCCAACCTTCCTGCCCCCCCCTTCCAAAAGAAATCTGAATATTTGAACAAGCTTGTGGGCCAGTGGTAATTCTTTCGTTCTTCCTTTCTTTTCCTGTCTTGTGTTTTCTTTATACGTCTTTCTGTAATCTTCCCCCCCTCTTTCCCACTTCCATTTCTGTCCTCTCTCCCTCCGTTTCTCCCCTTCAGACCCTCGTCAGTCCCAGTCCTCTCCTCCCTGGTCGTACGAACAGACGTATCCGTCCTACCTGAGTCCCATGGCGTCCCCCTCGGTCCACTCCACCACCCCCCTCTCCTCCAGCCGAGCCACAGGTCTGCCTGCCATCAGTGACGTGCCTAGACGATTGCCAGGTACTGTCAGGGTCATTTAATCTGCTACAAGTAATTTAGTTTACAACATTTTACAACAAGTTTTCAGCATTTTTCTTTCAGCGAGAAAGAGGGGGTAGGGGTGGAGAGACAGGCACACACGCACTTTCACACTGTGAAAAGCAGAAACGTATACAAAGAGGGGAGAAAAAACTATGAGCTACTATTTAAGAGAGAATAATTCAGCAAAGCAAGCTCATTCTCAGGCGAACGTGAGGAATGAGGCCATATTGTCCAACCATCTCTCCAGAGAGCGCTTTGCTTGATGTTTTTCAAACAGTCGAGGGAAAAAAACAACTATTGTTTCCTTTTTTCTTTTTTTTCCAAGCTCAGAGCCTTTGATCCCAGAGGAGCATGGGTAATAACAGGCCCAGGGATAATAACAGGCTCGTGACTGACAAATAAAGTGTCTTTACAGCGATGTGCCACTCTCTCAAGGCATTCTGGGTAATTGCATTAGCCAGTCTGTTTGCAGTAACGGCAGCATCTGTGTTCCAATTTGTCCCCGTTTTTCCCCCAATGTAAGAGCTCCTTTAAAATCCCTGCACGCCGCCAGACGAGTTTCTGCCCTGTACACCTGTTTGACTCACTGCCACCAGTTTTTTTCTACACTACTTTTTGTTTCTGTTTCCTTGTGCTAACATACTACACCCTCCTCTGTGTGCATGTGTGTGTGTGTGTGCCCCGAGCGAGGGTGAGTGATTAAGCGATGCAGCCATGTGACTCTGCATTAGAAAGGGTTTAAAATCCCGCCAGCTGCCCTGTCAACTTTGATTAGTTTGGTCGCTCACTTCAGCTTTCATCTAGCGAGCGTTGGTCTTTGTTCTCAAAGCGCGAGCACCAACACGGGGGCAAAAACTCGCCTCCCCACTTTTACCCAGTCGCACACCTCAAGCGCTTAATGCCTCCTAAGCGATGTGACTAAGGCTCTCAGATCTCCAGAGATCATGTTGACACCTCGCCAGGCGGCTGTGTAACCGTATCCAGCCGCAGAACATACCGACGAGCACGAGCAGAAGCTGATATGGATGCTGTATCGGGGTTCCGCCCTCCCTTAAGCGGTCCGGCTCGTGTGTCAAAATGTTACATTTGCTCAGAAGCGATCGCAAAAAAAGTTCATCAGTCAAGTCAAACACCTCATTCGGAAGCAACGCCCCCGAGTTTTGTAACATCCTTCCAAACATTCAGACGTTTACACTCTGGTTTTATTTAGGCTGATAAAGTTCGATCTGGCCCATCATCACAGGGCCTCTTTGAGCACAAAAATAGGTCCTGAAGTTAAAAGCAGGGGTTTTATTGAACAGCGCCGGTCACGTCTGAGATCACACTGCCCCTCTGCAACAGAGAGACAATCGCCTACTATTTCTATTAGAATCAAACGGATCTCGGGGGGGAAAGAGGAAGTTTAAAGGCCTTAATTAGCAGCATATGCTATCTGACGCTGCAGCGACAAACCCGGCTTCGCAATCCCTCCCTGCACATAAACACTGCGCCCACCTCCCCTCCTCTTCCCCACCACCCCCTGTCCTCTCGCAGCAGACATGGTGACACAGAAGACGCCTGGTGATTTATGATAAGAGCGCCATGGCTGGACTAAACCGCTGAGAGGGAGACGGGGAGAGAGGGGAGGGGAGGACCTCCTATTCTCCTTAAACTCTTCGCCCAGCGCGAAGCTCGCCGCAGCCAGTTAGTGGTTTTTTGGGTATTTTTTAAAGGGATGAAGCGAAAAGAGGAACGAAGGGTGAGATGGAGCAGCTCCTTCTCATCCCCCCCTCCCCACACACACACACACTCCTCCCGCGCGCGCTTGCACGGACGCACACTCACACGGATACATACACACACAGGCTGGAGCCGATGGGAGGCGAGGAGAGGAGCCACATCAGAGCTCAGCCCTGCCTCATTATGGATCTCATGGAAACTGTTTCTGCTCAAAGTGTTTCCACATGTGCAGCTCCTGATTCATCCCAACTGCTTCTTTTTTTTATGTGCATACAGTATTCACACACATACAGCTCCCCCCACCACCCCCACACGCACGCACAGATATATTTGCATGCATAAACAGTTGCACAGATGCACATAAACATGCACCAACACACTCACAGGAACATAAATATGCAAAGGTGTAAACATGCTTGCACGCGACTTTGCTGATGTGCGTTTGGTAACTTCATGGAAACCGAATAGCAGCAGCTGGAAAAAAATCTGACTGAAGTTCATCGATATATCATTATTAATATTGATAGATGAAGGCTGCTCCGCAGCCGTGCCCGCAAAATCTATTAGCTTCTTCAGATTGGTTCATAGACAATTCAGTTTACTGCTGTTTAATTTCTCAAGAGACGTATTCGTTAAATTCAATTACTCTACAAGACAAAGTGCTAAATGGTTTAATAGTCCAAACCACATTCAGCGCAATCACAACTGACAAGCTGATGTGTGATTATTTAGGTTCCGTAATAAATCCTTCCTGTCGACGTCATAAAACACAGACGAAATTCACGTGTTTGTGCGTTTTGTGTTTTCACCTTTCAGGTTCCTCTGACCTGAGCCCATTCCCCGGTCAGTTCGAGCGCCAGTTCCCGAGCCTCTCCTCCCTCACAGAGAGCCGTTTCTCCAGCCCTCGGATGCACTACCCGGCAACCTTCACCTACACCCCGCCCGTCACCTCAGCCATGTCGCTGGGCAGCGCCCACTACCACACCTACCTTCCCCCTCCGTACCCGGGCTCCACCCAGAGTCAGAGCGGACCCTTCCAGACCAGCAGTACGCCCTATCTGTACTACGGGACGTCCTCCAACACGTACCAGTTCTCCATGGTTCCCGGCGGGGACCGCTCGCCGTCCCGGATGATCCCGCCTTGCACTAGCGCCTCCACGGGCACATCCCTGGTGAACCCTAACCTGCCCAGCCAGACAGAGGGAGGGGTGGACGGCGACGGAAGCCACAGTAACTCCCCAACTGTACTCAACCCCGGAGGCCGCATGGATGAAGCAGTCTGGAGGCCATATTGAAGAAGGCAGAGAGATAAGAAGTCAACTGATGTCATGGTTTGAAAGCACAAAACCTTTTCTTTCTTTCTTTTTTTAAATAAAAAGGGGATTTTTGAGCTTACATCAGCTGTCTCTACCTTTGGAAATTAAGGTTGAGATTAAAAAAGAGGGAGAGAGCAAGAGAGACCAAACGTGTGTGGACTTGTCCTCCTGGAATGTGTTTAGACCGTGGCGCTACAAAGGGAGTCAGTTTCAAAGCAATAATGAAAAAGACAGTTTTGGTTTACTAGGCCCAAGTGGATGAGACATTATTTCAGTTTTATTCTATTCCACAAAGCTAAAGGGATGCTTCGACGATATTTGTTAAAGACTGCCTCTTTTGTACAGTGTTTGTATTTCTTTAAGGCTTTTTTTGCAGAGCATGTTTTTTTGTGTTGTTTTTTTTTTTTGTACTACGACAATATCAAGATGCAAGTTAAGCACTGAGTAGCAAGTAATAAGAGTAACGCATATGTTACTTTAAGTGGTGTGGACAGTAAATTTTGCTTTAAACCGATTAATTTAACTTGTATATTGTGGGTGAAACGATGTAGATTGAGGCGTTTTCTTCGTTTTAACTTATAAAGCCATAAATTATGTATTGTATTTGAAACTTGAGTCAAAGAAAGGTAATCTGAATATTTTTGATGCATCTATATGACTAAGTTAAAATGATTTTTTTTTTTTTTTTTGATAGGTAATTTAAGAAAGTACGTTTTGTTTTTGTTTTTCTGGTAGCACCCAAAGATTTAAAATCGTGTTGAATATGAAATGTAATTTCCAAAGAGTATTGCAACTTTTTTTTTTTCTGGTGTAACTTTCAGTTTAACTGCTCTACACATCCAGAGCCCCACATCCTTGCGAGGCGTTGACACACATTTGGCTCGGAATTAAACCTTTGGTATTTATTGAGCAATAACTCGTATTGTGCCTCTTGGCAACATATCATTAAAGAGAGTTTCAATGGGGGAAAATAATTATCCGTTTGGGGAAATTCTGCTTGATTTCTTTGCTCTGTCTAGTCTGACATGCACACAGATACTTATGCATTTTCTCTTCCAAATAAGAAATGGTGCATTTAGACACGAATTGACGTCCAGCCCAAAGATGATTGCAGTGGGTACTGTGCCTAATGGCCCACTTTAAAAGAGGCAGGTCAGACTTTAAGGATCACTTATTTTGTGATACATGAACTCCTCAGGACTGGAAGAATCCTTGGTTGATCCCACAGATTTGCTATATCTGCATTTCTTTTTTTTCATACCCAGCCTGGCTGAAAGCACGGTCAAGATTATAGCTCTGACATGCCAAGTCTATTATAGCTTTCATATCCTATGTAAAAGATAGCTTTGAAAAAGTCTGTCTTAGTGTGTGACACACACACACACACAGGTTTGTATTTTTTTTTTCTTGCTTTCTGTCTTTTGGGTTAAAAAGGAAATCGCAGAGAAGCAAAAGAGACTCTGGTGATCCTTTCGGCTTTTATTTATTTTCCAATTTTTACTCTGGGTTTACCGAATTGATTTTTACCCTCTTTATTGGCTAATGTCAACAATAAGGGTCTAAATCTAAAATCTCTCTGTGGGCTCGATATGAGGGGAGGTCTGGGTTTAAAAATTACCGTGCGAGATTTTAAAATGTGTTAAAGTTTAAGGGGAAAAAGTGCAAAACAACAACCAAAAAACACAAAACAACAAAGTGGTGATTGGATTCAGCTGCTGGCAGCAAACTGGTAACCAAAAAATATGGGAGACTTGTGTATGTTTGTTTCATAAAGCACTTATTTCTTGTTTTATTTCTAGCAGCACTTGCGGCGGGCTGCCAGCAGGGCTCGTGGTTTTGGTCCTCAGTCGAGATGTAACGCCACTGGAGTCTCACACACACACACAGAATGGATAACACTTGGCCAAACAAGCCATTTATATTGGAGTTTAATCTGATTTCACAAGGCAGTTGGCATTTGTTTAAAATAAAAAAAGCATTTCTTTTCTTGCTTTCATACAGTATGATACTGAGTGCATGAAGGTAATATAATAACCCAATTTTTAAAAGCTGAGAAAAACATGGCCCTGTCCAAGGATCAGACTTCAAGCTTTTCATTTAAGATTTGCACGCACACTCTGCAGAGGATCTTCTCAACTCACACACACACACACACATTTCTCCAGCAGCTTCAGCCCAGCACGAAAAGTACTTTTGCTGTTAGAGCATAACATAAATAAACAAATTCAAAAACCTTTTAGATTGCTGTGATTTTATAGCATTTTCCCAAATACTATGCACATCTGTTGGAATTTATTTAATCTGCTTCACAAATCTTTTAAAAACTGTTTACACCTAAACGCAGCACTGACACCCTAACCTGTCCTCATCTGCTTCTGTTTGGGTTTTTTTGCTGTTCCTCAAAATACAAAGGTTCATTTTTTTTTTTTTTAATTTTTAATGTTGCGTACAAACTGTCATTAAAAAAAAAACTTGTATTATTCATTGATCAACATGTATGATATCCAGGAATTGTACCTGCTCTTATGTAAAGTTTACTCGTTATTTCTATTGTTATGCTCCTTCTCATGAACACTTGTCAGGAAACTCAATCTAATGGAGACTGTTAGACTTTGCTGGTACGTTTCATAAAGATCATAATTTTTTTTCGATTGTTTGTTTTGTTTTGTTTTTTAAGGGAAACACAGACCTGACAACAGTGAGTGAAATTGGCATTGTGATTGTACATTTTTGTTTATTTTAAGAATAAAATAGGAATTTTGTAACTTACTTCCCCCCCCCACCCATCAGAATCTTGTTTCTCCACCAAAATCAGTTTTTCTTTCACCTTAATAGTAATAATAATAATGCAGTTTATGTGCAATGGGGACCCCAGAAGACTTCCCTGTGCTTATCTGATTCTGAGATACACACATTTACTTTAGAAACCACTGCTGTTACAAAATTACAGCCGTGTGATGAGGAAACTTGGAGTGAGAAAACATAGCCAGGTAATTGCATTTCCTTATACAGGATCTTTAAGTTAAGATTCAGTTTCCTCTACCTATTTCAAAATAAAAGCCATCACTCTGTCTACTCTTAATCGCCTGTGCACACTTAGCAGTCATTGCTGGTTCGATCTCTCCCTGAAACACGCTGATCTCTGCAGCGTGTTGGTCGTGTCATCTCTTGTCTGCCGCTCCGTCTGCACCAACATTGTCTTTGGACGCGGGCCTGAGGCGGTGTCGAACCTCCGTCCCTAACTGCACGCTCAGCCGGCGCACAACTGACATGGCTGCATTTCAAAGGTGAAGCGAAAACCCCAAGAGATGGAGACAGGGAGAACCAGGGGAAGCTGTTTTATATTATTCCAAGACATAATAGAGCCAATCCAAGCGTGCACGTACACAAGAAACAGAGACGGAGATCTACAGCATCCCCATGTGTTTTTTTTATGATCCAGATTGGGGAACATTCTCGGGATTTCCCTGAATATAGATTGCGTGGAAAAAGCTCCTGCTGGTTTCAGGTTCACATTCTCAGCGTTCTCATCCATGTCTAGCAATTATCATAATGAACTCTGGAGGAGCAGCGGGACCCAGACACCCAGGGAAATTAGCATAATGTCCTCCATGCACGGGAGAGACAGCAGCGCCGAGGCAGACTCGTTTAAAGAGGGGTTGGAATAGAGCTTTTTGTCCCTGTTAAATTTTGGTGGTTGAACATGATGCCAGCGATGATGTGCGCTTGATTTTTATACCAGGTTGTAAGTAGTTTTGCAGTAGCACAGCTCAGACTGTATTTTCTTCCTTATATTATGCAATCAACTGACAGGAATACAAACAAGAGTTTATGAGGAGACAAAACCACTCCACTCAAAGGACTGTGCACACACAGATATACACACACACACACACACAACTGACAGCCCAATACAAACTGTTTACGTGACCTCTACAAACGTTTCAGAGGAGCAGCTCAGGCGGGAAGTGATCCTCAAGGGCCTCATACCACTCAGAGCTGTATATATCTTCCTATGTTTCCGTCTCCACTAACAGAGCTGTGGGTTGAGTGTGTTTGTATGTGTGTGTGTGTGTGCGTGCATCTTGATTTCTCATTTAGTCCCAAGATAAACTGAGGCTGACGGGCTCTCCAGTGTGGGCTGTAGAACCAGCGTGAAGCCTTTGACCTCCCTGAACCGCTGTTACCTGATGTCATCTGGGCTTCAGTGTTTTGGAGCGACCACCGTCACGTCTCAGAGGATGACCACCTTCTCCGACTTCAGCCCACTCCCACCATAAAATATATAAAAACTGTCAGTAATTTGATGTGATGGTAACTGACACCTCTCCACCGACACCCACCCACTGCTTGATCCTTGAGATTTTCAAACTGTGACAACCATAACTGTGTACTTTGGCGCACTCTAGTGGCTCCTTAATTTAACCATGGGGACCGCAGGGAGGGGGCCCACCTATACAGCGTTCCATATAGCCAAACTAGCACTTATTATGTTAGTGGAACTATTGCACAGCCTCCAAACACCCCACATCTTGCCTCTGTGGAGTCGAGCCTGCACAAGAGCTTTTCCTCCATAAATGAATGCCAGATCTGAAAAGCTGTTCACCCTCACAGAGAGGGGACCGTAAAAGACAACTTGTCTTCTGACCTGTAATAAAAGAAATGATCAGCTGGCAGGCGAGCCGCATCCAGGCAGCAGCCCAGAACCTCACAGACATGGTAGGGTTGTAAGGCAGCCTTGACATCCTGCACCAGAATCCATTCATCACTAGATTAAAGCATGCCTGTGTCTTTAGCTTGCTTTGGAAACATTTGATTCCATGAAACCATTTGCTGCTAAGTGAAGCTCAAAGAGAGTGCACTTATGAAACCTAAAATGCCTACATTTAATGAGCACTGCTAGTTCAGATTATGCAATTTGATACTGGCCACACTGCCTGAAAAAAAAGAAAGAAGAAGAAGCGGGAATTACTGTGAAAATGTGAGTGTCAGTACCATGGAGAGCGACCAAACATGCAAACAAAAGCCCTCTTTGTCCCATG